CCAGATTCATGAGCAATCCAAACATGGAACATTTTAATGCTTTAAATAAAATCTGGAAATACTTATTACAATATCCAAATCTAGGTCTTAAATACAATTGCAATTATAACAATCTTTTTATAAAAGGTTATTCAGATTCTGACTGGGGTAATGATCTTGACAAAAGAAGATCAACCACTGATTATATATTCAGTTTAAGTGGAGAAATTGGAATTAATAATTCTATAAGTTGGAATTCTCAACTACAAAAAACTATAGCACTTAGTAGCTGTGAAGCTGAATATATGGCTTTAAAAGAAGCTACTAAGGAAGCTATATATTTAAATAACATGTTTCAATACATGAATAAAAATCTGAATCTACAATATGATATAACAATACCAAAAATTCTGGTAGATAGTGAATCAGCAAAGAAATTGGCTGAAAATCCAGAATTTCATAAAAGATCAAAACATATAGAAATAATATACCATTTCACTAGAGAGGCTATACTAAATAGAAGTATAGAACTTATTCATATTTCATCAAAATATCAATTGGCAGACTTTCTAACAAAAAATGTTAATAATGTGCTTCACAAGTCTTATATCAGTCTTGCCAATATAGAGAGTTTTTCATCCAAATAGTATGGATTTTCTCTCACATAAGACTAAATATACAATACCATTCTTGTATATATAACTGATATTTTTTCACTTCATAAAAATAAGTGTTTTTATCAGTATAACTTAGTATATAACATAAATTAATATATTTTTCACTTTTACAAAGTGTTTTTTCATAAATATAACATACTAAGATATATAACTAATGTTGTTTTTTCTCTAAGTATAAAGAGTTTTTACATTAGTACATATAAAATATCTGATACTTTTATCTTTTACAAAAGTTTTGTATCAGATCATGTAATTTTTCTTCAATAACTGAAGTTTTTTATAAATAAAGAAGTATTGATTTTTCCCATGAGGTTTTTCATTACTTCATATATAAATATGCTTATGGGGGCATGTGAGAATATCACATTCTCAAATATAATCAAATTTATATACTATATATTGTCTTATATAACATGTGTATAACATGTATAACTTCCATAACATTTACAGAGTCATATACATAAATCTTGATTAAATATAAAGTTTGATCTATAACTCTTTTGAGGTTAGTTCTAATCTTATCATATTAAAGTTTATTTCAAACTTTATTTTCTAATAGAGTTACAGCAATAAGATTACCATCATAGTAATGCTTGGATAAATTATTAATTAAGAAAAGAATAATAAATTGAGTTGGCAAATTACATCATAATATGATATTACATCATATAAAATGTCATCATATGTGACATCATCAATTACATTATAAAATTCAATGTTGTATAGTTTATTTTCAAGATTAATAAACTATTGCACATTATATTCAACTTTAACAAGCTTTATAATCAGTTATACCAACTTTCTATAAATCTACATCATAGATATAAGGATTTATAGAATGTATTAGTCACTGAAACCAGAATTTATAAAATGCCTCATATAATAATTCAGTTTTCTAAAAAGTATAACTACTTTTTACAAAACTATTGCAAGTATTGCACAATATACTGCATCATACTGCATCATACATTACATCACACATGATGTAACACTTATAAATCAAGACAAATATGTCATAACATACATAACACAAACTCTAAACTCACAGTCTATAAATAAGATCAAAACTCCACTGCAAAATGTAATTCACAGAACAATTATAATAACTTCTTTCAATATTCATTAACTACTTCTTCTATACTACTGTTTTCTGAATTCTATTATCACTGTTCTCACTCTATTCATTCACCAAAACCTTATATATAACTATATACTTATATATTTATATATGTTTATATAGTTATTAGTAAGTATATTCTACTAACTGAGCTTTTGTTGTATGAGCTTCTACTGCACATTGACTTGCTCACATAGCAGAATCATGTAATCAGTCACAGAATTTACAAAACTCAGATGACATGAAGCATGATCATCTAAGCATTAAGAAGATTTTACAAATCTTTTTTAAATGATGAAATGAAGATAAGATGGCTGCAGTGCAGAGTTCTACATGAAATCATGTGACTAGTTTAAAATTTTATGAATTCTGAGTGACTAAGAGCATGATCATTTAAGCATTAATAATATTTTACAAATCTGTTTTAAATAATAAGATGAATGTAAGATGATTACAGCACAGAGTCTTACAGATTCTCTTCTCTTTACAAGTCTTATTTTTAAGATGTAGATGTGATCAAGATCACAGTCAGAGTGACAGCTTCACTGTGATTGTAATAACTTCTTACAAAATCTCTTTTTAATGTGATGAATGTAAGATGGTCACACCACAGAATTTTTATTTAGTTTTAGTTTCTAAATGTAGATGTGATAGCAGAATCACAGTGAGAGTGACAGCTTCTTTGTGATTGTAATGTAATTGCTGTAGTGAGTCAGTTCACTTTCAAGTTTCAGCTTAGCTTCTGAAGATTTTATAAAAATTTCTACAGTCATATCAAAATTCTAACAATATAGATTTCAGATTCATCCATAAAAATAATACATAAATACTAAAACATTATTAATTTAAGAAAAAAATATGTATATATAAATGTTATTTCTCTAAAATAATTAAAACTGATCATTTAATATTTTTCAATTGAAGATTAAAATGGAAAAATTCAATGAAATGAAATAAATCAAATAAAAAATTATATAGTAAATTTAAATATTAATCAAGATGATGTTCATCTAAAAAAACATTATATTAAATTCTTAAAGTAGTAAATTTAACATATATAACACTGACTTAATTCACAATTCTTAATGTCATATAATGATTTTCAACTTTCAGCAAAAACTGCAAAAATTTACTCAATCATTGTGCTAGTAACATTCTGATGAACTTACTTAAATGAGTTAGTTCACTCAATTTAGTAAATTCACATTAAAGAACCTTACTAACACACATCAGAGATGATGACATAATATAGTTACAGAATAATTTGAGAATATGTCAATTGCTTGTCTCATAATTTCAGATCTTCATTATATGTTGAAGAGTCATCTTCTACTAACTAGAGTAAAACTATGTTAAAATACAGTAAACTGAATTGAGACTTCTCTTCAAAATTCATTGAAGATCTGAGTCAGTTTTCATTACTGCAACACCACTTTTCTTTAATTATGGTCATTCAATACCTTAAGTTACTCAATCACTACATTTAATACTGTCAAAAGCAATACATATCATTGTTCAAAAATTGATGAGCAACTACTTTAAAAATCAAAAAATTTATCAATTTCTTTAGTATAAGACTTTTCTCAAAATCATTCATTTTGTGATGAGTGCAGTCTGAAATTTTCATTTTGCACAATCATTTAATCATCACAGCTCTTAAAATCTTTATACTAAAGCTGAAAGTAGCTGATAGTTATACAAAGTTATACTCAATTTAAAATTTCTATTTATTTGAAAAATCATGAAGTAATCATTCTCTATTTTGTATTTCCCAATTAAATAATTAAATGAAAAAATCTGATGATGTGAAGCAGATTGAATCAGATGTAGTAGATATTGTAGATCTGATGTAATAAAAAAAGCCCATAGTAACTTATATTGTATCAAGTTCTTGAAATCAGACATTTAATGTTGAAACTATCAGCTCAAATTGAAAATTCCAAATTTGTATGAAAATTCAGAGTTCATTCTATTTTTGTGGAAATCAGCTCAGACACTGTGCTGGTCAGGCTCTGGCAGAATCACCAAAATGGGTTAGTTCAAAACACTAAATTTGCGCTAAAGAACCTTAGCAGCACGCGTCTGAGGGGATGAGGTGAGCCAATTGCCAAACCTCCAGAATTCCGGTATGGCCCTCTCAACACATATATTTATGCAGGGAACAGGTACAATCTCACACAAGTACTCTGGACTACAGACCTTGTGAGTGGAGGGAATGTTTAAACCCTCTTGTGAATATTCACTTGCGCATATTTAGCACTTTCCCCACTCCTTGAACGTACTTTGGCAAAGCTAGGAATCTAGCTCTCAAAACATAACTGACCACTTGGCCGTCATGCGGAAGTCGATTGCAGAGGAGAATGGATATGGTTACACTCAATCACATATCTCAAACCATGTGACGATGTTACAAAAGCGACGTAATGATTCGGAACTACAAGAATCTCCTGGTAGCGAAGAAGAGGAAACTGACGAGTCCGTCGTCGAAGACATGAAAAAATTGGAAGACCACTTTGTGGGAATCAAAAAACAATTTCGATTGATTCGCCGCATTGGAGAAGGTGTGTTTATATTAATTTATGTAATGCAATAGTGTAACCTGACGTAACTGCTATTAGGGACGTTTTCTACTGTTTATAAAGCTGAGGATTTGCTTTACGACCGTTATTACAATGAAATATGGGATTGGGAACTATCCGAAGACGATGAAGATGAAGCTTTTCTTTTGGCACCTTTCAAGCGCCGCCGCATAGGGAAATTCCTAGATACCCAAAACTCGATGGAAAGACCTGTGCAAAGGAAACGACGTTACGTAGCGTTGAAGAAAATCTACGTTACCAGTAGCCCCTCACGCATTCAAAGTGAGCTTGAGTTGCTTCTGGAACTCAGAGGTTGCCCGTCGGTGTGTCCTATCATCACTGCATTTCGGCACCTAGACCAAGTAGTGGCAGTTCTGCCATACATTCCCCATCAGGATTTTCGATGTCTATACCGCACTTTTCTCGTGGAGGATATGAGGTTTTACATTGGATCCCTGCTCGCTGCTCTTCAGGCTGTGCACAGGGAACACATCATCCACCGAGATATCAAGCCAACGTCCGTATAAACCAATTAGTTTTCTGCATCATTGCGTACTGATAGCTCGACAGTAATTTCCTATATGACCCACTACAGAAACGTGGAGTCCTTGTTGACTTCGGCCTTGCAGAGGTGGGTATTAATGTGGCACAGCTGATTATTTCTTAGTTGACAATCGCCAATTAGCACGATTATGACAATAGGGAACCCTGTCCATGTTCAGAGACGGACGTCTATCGACAATTCCGAGGGCTATATTCCAACAAACCCCAGACCATGTCGGCTGGCTATCCAAAAAACGACTCCCGTCCAGCTCGTCGAGCAAACCGGGCAGGAACTCGTGGGTTTCGTGCACCAGAGGTACTATTCAAATGCGGGCAGCAGACCACAAAGGTGGATATATGGTCTGTTGGTGTCATTCTTTTAACCCTTTTAGGACGACGATTTCCTTTCTTCCATTCCTTAGATGATATAGACGCCATGGTTGAACTTGCCAGTATATTTGGCAGTCGTAAGATGAAAGCGTGTGCAGCACTACATGGGCAGGTATTTGAGACCACCATTCCAACAATCGGCGAAAAAGGCTTCACATGGGAGAGAATCGTGTTGTGGTCCAATTGCCTTGACGAACTCACTGGACGAGAAAAACAAGGAATCAGGCTCTTGTCACACCTTCTAGAACTGGACCCGGAAAAAAGATTCAATGCAAGAGAAGCTTTGCGTCATGATTTTTTTACTTCCCCGGAAGGTGAAGATTTGCCCTGGCAAACTGAAGATTTAGGGTGTGGCGAGAATCAGAGTAGTGTAAAAGAAAGTGTGAAGGAAGGTGGAAAGGAGGGGGAAGCAACAGGTAAAGTGCTGGATGATGTCCAGCTTATCAAGCCAAATGATTACTCCTAAGAAAGTAAATCATGGTGTAATTTTGGATCCCATTGACTGACTGGCTACGAGGCACACTGTGGACTGTTGTTGTACCTGTCGCTTTACCAACTGCTGAGAGATAAATATGCATTCAAGAATGCAGTCTTGTGTGCACACTGCAGCCAGAACAACTTTTCATGTTGATTCTAATCAGCTACTCTATGGCCCTATTCTCTCCTGATCTGTGTGGTATTAAGTTGATTGTTATCTTCTAACATCTTATCAAGTAGCCAATCTGTTAACAGAATTCCTTGTTGGACGCCCAATGTCACCTAACAGTGACTTTTTACAAAATTACTACTACAGTACTAGGTCAAAAGTGTTGGCACCTCTTCTACTTTTACACCAAGACCCACCTTTTTTAAAATCAAGTTGCTCAACAAATTGTATTGTAACATATCAATTGATACATATTAATATATAAAGAATTGGTAGAAGAATATTTTAAGAATAATTTCATTAAATAATTATAAATTGCTGTCTCTGTAAACCTCATTAAATATGACTGAAAGCTATTATAACATAGACCCTTCTATTCATCATGAAAATAAAATAAAATTAAATTATTAAAGACATAATGAATATTTTAAGTATTCATCTCCATATTGATTACTTATCTCATTCTCTCAGATGCATGCTGCTAAGATTCTTTAGTGCAAATTTAGTGTTTTGAACTAACTCATTCTGATAATTCTGTCAGAGCCTGACCAGCACAGCATCTGAGTTAGTTTTCACAAAAATAGAGAAAATTCTGAAATTTCCATATAAATTTAAAATTTATGATTTAAGCTGGTAATCTCAACATTGAATGTCTGATTTCAAGAACTTAATACAATGTGAGTTACTATGAACTCTTTTTATTACTTTAGATCTATAATATCTACTACATCTGATTTAATTTCACATCATCAGATTTTTCTGTTTGATTACTCAATTGAAAAATACAAAATAGAGAATGATTACTTCATGATTTTTCAAATAAATAAAAATTTTAAATTGAGTATAACTTTATATAACTATCAGCTACTCTCAGCTCTAGTATGAAAATTCTAAAAGCTGTGATGATTGAATGATTAAGTAAAATGAAAATTTCAGACTGCATTCATCATAAAATGAATGATCTTAAGAGAAGTCTTATACTAAAAGAATTAGTAAATTTTTTATTTTTTTTTTTTTTGAATAAAGTGATTGCTCATCAATTTCTGAACAATGATATGTAGGCTGACTGTTGGGGTCCCTTTGAGATCCCAAAGAGACAAGACTGAATGTCAATTAGACTGACTGCAGAGAAAGAGATTTCCCAACTGAGATCCCATCTCTAATGCACTAATGGGAAATTGAGATGGAACTGGGACTTAATAGTTTAAACTGAGATGGGACTGAGACTTGAGTTTCAAGTACTGAGATGGAAATGGGACTTAATTTAAAGAGATTGAAATTATTTAATTAGAGATAGGGATCCCCAATTTCCCTAAACTTAAAATAAAACCTTATTTTATACTATTTTTAGTATTAAAATCATATACAAATGTATACATGCATTTTGACTTGATTTGCCAATTTTTCTATTTTGTCATATTTTGGTGTAAAAATACACTTTAAAATAAAGTTTGAAAAAAAATTAAAGTTGTTTTAGAGATAGAGAAATCTAGAAATGGAACATAATATAAAAAATTTGGAACTGAGAAGAGAATGAGACTTTTATTCATATTTTGAAATGAGATTGAGACTACTTGTTACCTGGCCTAGCTGAGCTACAGAATGTCCATGCAATTTTGGTTGTGTAGTAGAAGATCATTCTATTCTTCCTTCTCCAAGCTTTCTTGATAGGCTCAGGGTGCTGACTAACTAACTACTATCTTTATCTAGCTACTTCCATAAATATGTACATGTTAGTTGTCAGAGAATATGATTTTAAAGATCAGTGTCCTCACTGAAAGTGTGTGCACTGAAAGCATGTAATGTTGCTAGAATTGATAATCATAGTAGAGAAAGTCAAAAAAGAATGACATTCTCTCAATGATGGCTTTGTTGATCAATTTTGCATGTGTCATTGAATATAGAAATTTTTTTTAAGCTAGAGTAGACATGATCAGTCTCATTAATGCATATATTTTAATTTGATGTTGTGGATACCATTCTTCATCTAGTGCAAAGTTTTTCCATAGCTGTAGTGTATTCTTTGAGTTCTGTTCTAGTATGTCAGTGTCATTAATTTAAGTCAAGTGTGGATAGTCCTCAGCTGCTGCTTTAAGTGCTCATAGACAAGCTGGATGAACTTCCCATTGATGGTTTGGAAGATGCAGTAGTTTATGTCTGATGAAGTTATTTAGAAGAAATTATCATTCTCTGTAGAAATTCTATTTGTCATCTGTGCTCAGAGTGAGTCATTCTTGAATCTCTTCTGTGGTTATAATGTCATCTTCATCTAATGCTGTCCAGATTCCTGTGTTTATTGTGTTTGGTGGTTGGATCTAAATGGATTCTTCAGAGAATCAACACAGAAAGTGGAGAAGTTCATATTTAATAGACTTTGTTAATAAAGTGAGTTGATAAGATTGAAGTTTATCCAGCATGTTTTTGAAATAAGAGTTAACAACTGCAATAATGAGTGCTTGAGACACTAGATGTCATTTCTCCAGATTTGGTAAGTTTATGCAGCATTGTTCAGAGAAGAATTGAAAGAATTCAAGACATTAATTCATGGTCATTGCATATTAAGTATTCTTGTACTTAATGAGAGTTGCTGTTCATTCACTTGAAATTGCAGATCATTTGATTATAGTATTCAGTTCATCCATGATGAGAATGTCATTGTCATTTCATGCTGAAAAGTTCATGAGCAGATAAAATATAGAGAATTGTCTATTTTGCAAGTAAATGATTTAATCTTGATGAGAGCATTGTGCTATTAGCTCTTGCTCTCAAGAGAGAAGATCAGTGAAGTCAGAGAGATTGTCATTGTTGTCTTTTAATAATAATTTCATTTACATTTGAGGCTCTGAGTCTTTGTGCTCTTTGTGTTTTGGAATTTCTATAGCCAAAGCTGTTGCTGTATCTTGTGGTGAGATTGTCATTGCAGTTGGTTCAGAGAATAGATGGCTTTGTGATGTATCTCAATCAAGAGAACTGTTATTGTGATAGTCTGATAATGTTGAGGATTTCATGTTATCATCAATGAAGACTTCATCAGTGTTAAGTTTTTGTTCAGAGATATCATCTTGTAAATTGACTTTTTTTGCTGATTTTTGTAGATGTTGACTTTTTTGAATTGAGATTTGTTTAGTCAGAGTTTTCTTTTTGTGTGAGGTGCTTTTCTTTGCTGAAGCTTTATGTTTGCTGAGCTTTTGCTTTGGGGTGAGTGTGAAGAGGACTGTTCATGAGCTAGTGTCAGCATTGTCAGATGACAAGTCATCAAGAAATGCTAGAATATTATCTTCAGATTCAGAGAGATTGAAGATGTCTTCTGAAGCTTTCATGTTGTATTTTTTTGTTTGAATTTCTTGTCTTGCTGAATGACTGATGTATTCAATTGACAATTTCTTTTGGAAGTTTTCTTCAGAAAGATTTTTCAGATGATTGATTGCTTCATTGATAACAGCATCTGTTGTTTCTGAGACTCAGATTACAGTGTTGTTGTTTTTGAATCATTTGTGTTGAAGAAATTTTTGTTTTCATATAATCTGACTTTCTCACCACTGAATTATTTCTTCCTCATGTTTTCTATTCATTTCTGTTTGTATCATTTCAGCTTGTGTTTGTAGAGCTAGAGCAGCTGTTGTTCATTGCTGTAGTGTGATAAAGTTCTCATCATATTGAACATTGTCATCATCAATGTTACATCCAACTGAATTGCACTGCTTGAAGAAAAGTACTCTGATGGATAGATGAATATAAATCCATTCATTGTGATTTTGAGTGATTGTTTTGTTCTCAGTATGTTTGTTTGTCATGATCTTATTTTTTCATGTGTCTGTGGCCATTTCTATCTTAATTTGGATTAGATGGTGTGGTTCAGAGGTGGCTGATGGTGAGTTTCAAGATGAAGAACTCTGAAAATTCCATTCATTAGCAGAGTGAAGTCAGACTTGAGCATTTTCAGATACAAAACATAGAGTATATTCTGCTTGAAAATCTGTTTTTTTCTCTGATAGTTCATGTTGTTCTTGCAGTTTACATTGTTCTTTGACACAAAAGAGAGTCTTAGCTGCAGATAAGATGATAGACTTTGATGCTCTGATTGAGATTTTTGGAGATGCATTGGTGTTTGGGAGAATATTTATGTTGAGCTGTTGCTAAGATACAAGAGAATTTTGTGCAATGCTTAAGATATGTTTGTAAGCTGGTTAAATGCAATATGAACTTCTGTGATTCAAGAGAATTCTGTGCAATGCTTAAGATATGCTTGTGCTTGTATGCTGATGGAATACAGTATGGGCTTCTGTGGTTCAAGAAGAGATGTAATATGTTGCTTTGTGGATGGAATTTGTAGAATGAAGAATGTTTGGGGGGGAATATATATTCACTTAGTGTGTGTGGACTGTTTGTGTTGTTGGTGTTGTTGTTGAATATTATATTGATTTGTCAGCAAGTTGGTATTGCTGTAAAAGTTCTTTGATGTTGGCTAGTTCTGATTCTTTTAATCAGAAGTCTTCTTGAAGTCTGTAGTCTTTTCAGTGAACTAGATATTCTTTTTGTGCTTTGGTATCTTTGTCTTTTGTATGTTCTGTGACAATTTGTTCCAGTTCATATTCTTCATGACTGTTGATTTGTATTGATAGAGGAGACTGTATTGTTCATTTAAAGAGATCTGATATGTTTGAGACTGGTTTCAAATGAGCAACACTGACTGTTTTATGAACTTTCCATGTGTCTGACAGATTCAGTTTGCAAGCTAACTTTTTTACTTTTTTTGTGATGGTGAAAGATTCTCTGTATCAGTCATCAAATTTTCAGAGTTGTTTGCTGAGTGCAGTGGT